GTTCATTGGGAGAGGGGAAGTTTCTACAATGTCAATTTGTGTCATTCTTAATATTTAAAGGAAACTGCCAGTGACATCGGATGCTGACCAGGTAGAACATGCAGGTTATTGCTTAGAACTTGCATAAACTGTAGAATGGCACACATACAAAGAATACAAACATTTCAAAATTTTAATGAATGTTCTGAAAAGATGCTTTCTATCCCTTCAAACAAAGTACAACCAGAAACCAAAATCAAAAATGCCATTGTATTTTAATTACTGATACATTTTAGAAACACTGATTTATAAATTGTCTGGTCTTACATTTTATAAATAAAACTCTTCAGACTTATGGAAATAAGTTATTAATCATATTTTGAGAGGCTTCCAAAATCTTTATGACACTATTATATATTATAGGCTCAAAGAAAAGTTGTACATATCACTATAGTTAATGGATATACCCCAGTTTTAAAGTGGCCTTTGCAAATAAGATCTATGTTGAAATGTTATTACAAATTCAAGAACTGGAAAATGTCATAACTTATCCTACTTTTAGGAATATCATCTACACAAAAGGTCCTTGAGTAAAAAGGAGACATAACCCTACAGAAAGCAATCAAGCAGGAAACAAAAATACAGAGCACGTTCTATTCACAGCTATATTTTTAAGTTCAATTAGCCAAAAGAAGCAAATGATTATAGCACACATTAATTACAGAATTACATAAAAAGGCAAAGAAAAAAATTGAGATGTGTCTAACAAGTTTCCAGCCAGAGGTATAGAGCTTATAAATCAGAGATTTAGAAATCATCATTTTCCTTTTGTTTGGTCTTGTGTGTAGGGCCTGATATCAAAAGTGATGTTCAGAGTGAATAAATGTAAACGTTTGTGATGCAAACAAACCCATCTTTAGAAGTTGCCTACTGCTATCAAAAACAAGTAGGTAGATGCTGACATCTGGGCCCCAAAGGTCCCAGGGCTCAGATCCCTGGATGCTGAACTCCAGGAAACACTAACTCGGCAGCTATTAGTTTGTCTTAAAAAAAAAAACAAAACAAAAAAAAAAAAAAAAAACAAAAAAAAAACAGTATTACAGAAGTCTTTTCTATTGTAGAGCAAGACTCTAAAACAACTTGCCACAAGACAGACCCTGCCTTCAGTAAACAGCTCCATTTTACACCTCTCAATACCACCATGGGGTCTATAATGAACATTTATATCATTAACACACCTACAATAAACCCCCAGCTGAAACACTTCATAAAACTTATTGCTAAACCAGTTTAGAAAAAGAGCTTAAAGATGTTTAATAAAACCATAATTACCTTTGTTTCATGTTGTAAAGAGGTATTATTACATGCTGACTGGCTTCCTGTAGCCTAACAATAAATTTTAGTTTGTCAGATCTTTAGTTAAATATCTTACAATGCTTGATTCCATGAGAGAACCTATTTGTAAACTTTGAAACTTGCCACAAGAGATTGAGGAGCAGACAGGTAACTGGGGATGTCTCAGAAGATGACATAGAAAGGTCCTGGCATATGGGAGGGGGATAATGAAGTCTGTGGGCATCAGAAAGAAGAGATGGGCAAGCCAGGTGAGCTCAAGCAGAAAACTCAACAGAGGAATACCATCTTTGAAAGGAAAAAGTCTTGCTGTCTCCTTTCACACCAGGTCCTGTGGGCTTTTCTCATTTCTGCACACATCAGGAGAGTTTTGCATCAGGGTTGGCATGCGGTTTTAATGTGAGCCAGCTATAGTTAAGGCCAGGAGGTGTGTGTGTGCATTCAGAGTCTATTCATACAGGAAGACTCTCACTGGTGTGTTGGCTCACTCCTGCTGAAAAGCACTATGCATTCTGACAAAATAAAACATTTGCTTTCAATGAAATCCAAAACACAAAAATGCATACACTTCTATGAAACATTATTGGTGCCCATAACTATGTGGGCTTTTCAACTGCACAAACCACTAAAGTACTTAAAAAGCCAGGCAACACAAACAAACCAATCTTTAGGACAGTTATTTACATATTGGGAGCTAACAGCTATGTAGGAGCAAACTTATCCAGATATGTTAATACAGTCTTGTGGAACATGTTGATTTTTCTTAAAAATGAAAGGAAAGAAACTCGTACATTATCACGGTACTTTTCCCTCTGTGCCTCCATGACAGACGACATTTCCAAATGCCACCATCAGTCAATGAATCCTCAAGAAAACTTGTCTCCAAATGCCCAAGGTCCCAGAAGAAGCAATTAAAAAATCTGACACTTGAACAAAAACTGAGTTAAGCAAATTATTAAAATTCATGAAAGAATTTCATTTAATACCTATAAACTAGGCAATTTTCTAACCAGACCCTTATGGACCCAGTTTATCTATAAAACAGCAAACTGACTCTTAGAGATGGTAACAACCTACCATTGTGCCTCTTAACACATAACTGGCCAATGAAATAACAAGAAGCAGTTAAACTTTAAAAAGCCAACATACCATAAAGTAATTTCTGTGCATACATATAGAACTCCATTTTAATTTCAAAGAAATGCAAACAATCCTCTACATGATTTTAGACACAGAGTGCAAATTCTATAAACCCAAGCTCAAAATTTTTAGTCTCACACAAAATATTGAATGCAGGATCCAAGATCTTGCATGCTACTAGTTATTTTTGCTCTTTTTAAGTTCCACGAGAACTTGTGTTTTCCAGAGTACTACACATTCAGATTGTCACTAATCTTTTCTAGAAAAATAGACTTGCTTAAAAATTTATACCAATTTGCTTTTATTTTCTATAAAGATTTTAAGAGTTGTTAAATATCAGAATGCCTAATAAACTCATTTAAATTAATCCATGTAGCCAAAATACTCAATATCTAAAATACCTAGCAAAAATTTGTCATTCAATAAATGAAAATTTCATTGTTTTAGTAAATATTATATTCTTTATTTGTATTTTAGGTTGATAAATATAATCACGGAACAGCAAAATGCAGCCCCACTGAAGGGCTGGCTTGCCGTGGCAGTTTACAGAGCATGGCTACTGCATTTCTTCTATGAAAGAAAGTGGAGAGTCATCTTGTGGATGCTGCAGCTAGTAAGGACAAATCTTAGTTTAACATTTGATATTCTAGATACACTTATTTGATGACTGGCTATACCAATCAATGAAAAGTAATGGCAATGGTCTTTCAAGCAGGAAATAATTATTGCCTACATGGAGATTCATAACTGTATGCTGTCATTTTGATGGTGAGCTTGAAATCTGCTCAGAATTGCAGTAATATCCAGAGTCAAAAATTTATCTCAAGATTTATTCCTTTTTAGTGAATTTCCAAAATAGTTTTATAATACAAATATCTTCTTTCCTTTAAAAAGAAAAAAGCCTACTTTTCTTGTAAAAGGGCCTAAGAACAATACAAAATCACTTGCATTCCTATTCCTTCACCCTTTAGACAACCAGTACTCTTGAGTGCCTACGATGCAGACAGCAATAAACTTAGCAAGCCATTGTTAATGTAACATTAGCTGCTTTAAAGAAGTCCTATCTTTTACATTACTTTATCTTTCAAAGGTAAATATTCCTGATTTTATCATCTGATTGACTGAAATTTCAATTCCCATCTTTAAACATACTAGACCTTGCCAGACTCTATCTGTATTAGACAATTAAATTAAACTGCATTACATTAAATACTTTGATTACATTCCACTAGCCTCCTTCCCTCATCATAAAATGAATAATGAAAGAGTCAAACTTCTCCTTCAATTTGAGACTCTAGATGGATTAGATCTTTTGGTTTAGGTTCAGTTAAATTCAAGTATTCACCACTAACTGAATTAAGTCTCTTTTTTCTTAAGAACAATCATTAAAGTCAAGTACTTCAGAAAAATAAATAAAGGCAATAATAGCTAAATATATAATTCTCTATTTGGATTGCAAGAACCAAAGTTAAAGTACACACACACACACACACACACACACACACACACACACACACACACACGCACGCACGCACACTTTCTCAGCTCCAGGGGAATGTGACACTTTCAAACTCTGCAGGCACACACGCACGCACACGCGCGCACACGCGCGCACGCACGCACACACACACACACACACACACACACACACACGCACGATTACTTTCTTCACATAGAACAATAATAAGCAGAATGCTTGGGTTAAATCACCTTCTTCCTTCTCAAGAAAAATAAAACAGCAAAGATGAAATAAGAAAGCCTGAGTAAAATCTATGAATAAAACACAAACACTGTCTTATCTGTAGTTTCGGTCTGACCAATACAAGGCCAATGTCAGAAGCATGACAAACCCACTCCGGAAGAGACTGGTATTCTGGTGCCAGGCTTTGAACTTAGGGAAGAGTTTGCAGGAAGAAGTATATTTTTCACAGAAAAAGTACAGGAAACACAGAGGAAGGCAGCAGTTCCCAGTGAGTCCTTCTACTAGCTAAAGTAGTCATCTATCAGCATGCACTTTTAGAAGACATTCATCCCAAGGTCCACACAATGAGTCTTAGCCTTGCCTGACAATACACTTTTAAAAAACATAGTTGGATAAAGCACTAAAGATAGAAATAAAGTAGCATCTGAAATCTTGAAAGGCAGGAAGTATTTTCAAACACGATATTGAAGTGAGTGAAATACTCCATCGTAATAGATGACTGCATACCCAAATGAAATTGTGTCATTTCCGATGGCCTGGGGAAAAGGACAGGTTAGCAACTTAGAAATTAAACCCGACGCAGGCACTGACATTAGAAAAGAACACAGCACAACATATTGAGCTGCTTACAGACTTAAAATTAGTTCTCAACCCTTCAGCAAAATGGGTAGCATATCAAGGCCACCAAATCACCAGTCATTTTTTATGCAAATAATATTCCCCCATGTACACTGAGAGCTGGAAAAAGTTTCACCGATCTACTTACTTTTATTTAAACCTTTCCATTTCTATCCATGCTTAAAAATGCAGAAGGAAAGAAGAAATCTTGAGAGTGAAAACTAAATTTTATTTTCTCTTTTCTAAAGATAAAAAAAAGAAGAAAACACTGGAACCCTGAATAACAATCAGAACTAATAGAGCAGCATAAGAGCATGCCAGGAACTCATCTATTAGTAGATGCGACAGGGGAGGAATGAAGATGGCTTATGGAAACAGAGGCGTTTGATGAAGCACACCTTTAATCGAGTTTTCCGTTCTGAAGGCTATTCTTAGCTTTCTCTTGTCTGATGAGAGAGATGACCTTGATGCATCCTTTTGTAATTTTGATCATCCACATGACATTCATCACATCCAAAATAAGACAGGTAGTGATCCAGGTAAACTGAATCGTAAATCCAAGCCTTATAAAGGCTTCTGTTCCGTACACGGAATATATGAAGAAATACAAAGGAGGTATTGCAATGATCCGCACTACGAAAAAGACTACTGTCATGAGGATTCCATTGATGACATTGGCTTTGGAAAACTTGGGGTACTTCAGGGTTTCAAAGAACCACCTAATAAAGAGAATGAGAGAAACATCACACACTACAGCTTGGGAAACTACCATCTTATTCTCAAGTTTTAGGCTATAAAAGAATTCAAGGAACATTAACAATTTGCAGAGAGTGGCTAGGGAAGATGGCTCTGTGGATGAAGTGTTTTCTGTGCAATGACAGGGACTCGAGTTCTGCATCTTGGAGAAAAGGTTTTCACAGATTAAAATTCAACCACACAACTTCAGACTGATAATATTTGTAACCTACCTCTGGTTCACAAAGGGGCTGGAAAGCTCGGCAAGCAGGCGGAAATTGGCAATGTATGCAAGCACTCCATCTCTCTGGATTAGAGACAGAAACAGTGTCAGGGCCTCATCAAAATATGCAAACGTTCTAGAAATAGCCAGTCACTCCGATATATAATCCATCAATATGAAAACAAACCAGGTGTCTACCTTTTTTTCATTGAAAGAATTTTCTTCTTCTTTTTAAAGGTTGTTTTTAGGTGTATGAGTGTGGGCCTGAATGTTTGTATGGGCACCATATGCATGCTTGGTGCTCTGGGAACCAGAAGATAGTCTCCTAGATCACAGTTACAGACAGTTGCAAGCCATTGCGTGGGTGCTGGGAGCAGAGCCCAGGTCCTCTGCAAGGGCAGCAAGTGCTCTTAACTGCCAAACCATCTCTCCAGCCTCCTGATTTTCTTCTTCAGACTTTAGAGATGTTCTTAGAAGTCTACAGATGATGAAAGATGGTTCATTACATACTTAAATTCACTTAGAATGGCTTGTTCACCCAGGAGAACAGAAATCGGGCAACTGGCTCACACTGGACTAACACACTCTACCACCCACCATTAAGGCATCCTCAAACTACTCTAGTAAAAATGATCACATACAAGTGTGAATTTCAAAAGTTAAAGAGTTATTGTAAACACCTATTGGCATTCCATTAATACTCATTATGAAGTAGAAGTTCTTAAACATCTCAAAGGTATAATTATCCTATACTGTGACAATAATATGAGCAAGTATATATGTTCTAAACACAACAACACTTGATCTAGAAATATATACCTGTCAGTTGGAAGATCTTAGAACTAAAACACACACACACACACACACACACACACACACACACACAGAGTCTGGGATCTCTCAAAGTTGAAACATTAATATACTTAGCACATTCTAGCAATTTAATAAGATGGAAAATATAGCAGAGTACAACAAACATTACAAAGAAAATTCTTAGAATTGTATTTAATGTACTTTTAAAATTGCCAGGAGGTGGACTGCTGAGATGGCTCAATTTGATGCCTGGATCACACATGTAGAAGGAAAATTGTTCTCTGACCTCCACACATGTGCAAGCGTGCATGGGAATTGGCGTGGGGGGGGGCATGTAAAACTGCCATGAAGCAAATGTGGTCACTCTAGCATGTCTAATAGTATCAGAGTTGAGTTACATTGCAGAGAAAAGTCTACCCATCCCCAATCCAGTAAATACACACAGAACTTGGTAAGCTATTTTCTGACCAGGTATGCCATACTAAATTAAAAGAACATGAAACATTTAAAAATGAATTTTTATCTGAAGATTTTTTAAATAATTTTAAATTACATAATGACTTGGGGGATTTAAAATTCAGCACTTGACCATAGAATTAGCTTTACTGGGGCTATTTTTTTTTTCTATTTTCAAGTTCATTGTCTGTAGGGAGACAACATAACCACACCTCCTAAGGGCTGGCTACGGGTGTGCCCGACCACACCCATTAGGGTGTGACAAGGTGATGTCAGAGTGGTGTGGTAAAGGTTTAAAGAAATAGGGAATGCACATGGTAGCTCTCTTTCCTTGCTGCTTTGGCACACTCTGGCTTCCTGTTGGTTGGCATTTACCTATTAAAAGTTATCCTAACCTTATGGACTACTCATTAGTTATTCACCGAGATAATTGTCTTTAGTGATATTGGAATGTATGAGTGAGGAGGAGGAAGGGATGGCCAAAGACCAAACAAACAGGCAAGATGAGCCCTTTGTGACCCAGGACACTGCCACCTAAACAGCAACATGTGAGATGTCACGATGTGTGTGGGTTTACTGATTTCACATAAACACAGTGAAAAGTTAACAGTGCCTGTTAGTAGTAATAACACCAACTCAACAAGTTCTTTTTTTTAAATGACAGTACTTCTACAGCCATTCTTTACCTCTGTTGAATAGTTAAATAGGCTATATTGTATGTTTCTAGAATACATAACACATTTTAAGAATAATATAAACAAAATAGAGCTAATTAGAACTACAATAAGTTTAAAAATAACATTTTCTCCTGTCCTATGATACAGGATATTTTTCTTTCGTTTCCTTTTTCAGTAACACTTCTTCCTTTCCAGTGACTACCTACAGCCAGAGGGAAAATTTTTTGAACGTGGTGTAAAAAACTACTACATTGAAACACGAGATTTACTTTGACTTGCATTTCAGCTCCTTAGCCAACCATATTCTCCCAACAAAGATGCTACGATATAGAATGTTTTTATTGCAACAGCAGGCTTTTAGGATTATAAAAATTAAGTTTCCCGTTTCCCAGAAACATCTAGCCACTTTGTATCTAAAATCTTGGTTTAGTGGATCAGCTGCTATCTGTTAAGTTCCTTTGCAGATAGGAGGTCATCAGCTACACTATTTCTGTGTTTCCATACTTTCAAGTACACAGGACTCCCTGACAAGCTATAATAGAATCCTGTTTGGTGTGGCTACCATTTTTTGTTGTTGTCATATACAGCTCAAGCTCATTCTGATTTCCTGATCTTCCTGCCTCCACCTCCTGCTTCCACCAAGCCTGATATTAAGTGCTGCTATGAACAAAACCCAGAGCTCTCTGCATGCTAGACAAGCGCTCAACCACTGAGCTACATTTCCATCCCCTAATTTATATTTAAGTTTTGAAGTTACCTTGTTTCCAAAAGCTAAGTGACTCATTTTTTTTCTTGCAACCAACACCTCAAACAACTCAAATGAAGATGGTTCCCTCCTGTGGCCTCCTCAAAAATCAAAGAGCTCTGAGAGCTCTCATAGACATTTGCTTTACTGTACTATTTTTCTACATTCCATCCTCAACTTATTTAAGAATAAAAGCAAACCATTCCACAAAAAAAAGCAAGCCATTCTTGTCCCAACTCAGAAAATAAGAAGAGTTTGTAGTTTCAGAAAATAAGAAGAGTTTCAGCATCTTTGTTGCCAGTAGAATCATGGCTGTATTGTGGGCATGTGTTATCAGAGGCTTTTACCCTCACCCAGAGTTATTTTTTTTTAATTAAGTGGTTCCAGAAGTCTTGATGAAATTTTTAAGTGAATATAAAATCTCAATATCACAAGTTGTGTACAGGTATATAAGGAATTTAGCAAGTAATAACTTTCCCCCCTTGCTGAAATTGGCCAAAATGTGTGCATGTGTTCCCTGCCAAGCACAAGGTGAGCAATACCTCATTTGCATGTTAACAGTGTACCACCAACTCTTATTTTCAAAAAGCACCCAAAAGTGGGGGTTGGGGAGTGGGTACTTTTTGTCGCCATGACTCAATGAACCATGTGACTACTGAAGAGCCCAAACACTGCTCCCATCTGACAGAATCAGCTCTGTTGCAAGAGGTCAAAACATCTTTTGGGCCCCACAACCCTCCTCCTCCTCACATCCATTTTGTCAAGAAGAAATCTGAGTTATAGCCTTGGAATTAGGCAATGCAAGTTTACTCAATTTCATGTAGCAATCAAGAGGAAAAGACGGTGTGTATGTTCATATGGCACTGTCTAAGCTAACTCAGTCTGCTGCTTTCAACTGAGCATCAACATCTTTCTGGAAGATGAAGAGGATACAGCTTGATTTAGGTGTGGCTGCCCATTGCATCCCAGACTTGTGAAATCCCATGTCCTTCTATGCGTTTACACATCTTCAACTGAAAGTGTATTAATTTGGGACGATTGCAACAAAGAAACAGGTGGTAGGTGAAGGGTACAGTGTTTCAACAAGAGAATGTGTCACAGAGTTTTTAGAAGCCGAGGTGAAGGTACCAACAGATATGGCTCTGAAGATCAAGGGAATTCTCTGCTCCACCCTTGCTGCCAGCTTCTGGTGGTTCCTCAACTTTAGTGACCTAACTCCTATCTTCACACAGAATTCCTGGGCCCAAACTGTCCCTTTTAATAATATGGACATCAGTAAGAGTTTTATTAAAGGCTCATTCTACTGCAATATGAACTCCTCTTCACTAATTATGTATGCAAACAGACCTATTTCCAAACATTCATTTAGAGGTACCAGAAGTTAGGGATTCAACATAGGAATCCTAAAGGGAACTTATTTCAAGTCACACAATGTGGAATCACCAATGCTTTTCTACAGATTACACAGTATGTTTTGTTTGACTATATTTCTCTTTAATTCAGTGTTATAGGTCTTATATTCTGCCTATTATATATATATATATATATAATTACAATGTGTATGTAAATTATGCAAAGGAAAAAGATATTTTTAAAGATTTTATTTATTCTGTATACAACATTCTGCTTCCATGTATATCTGCACACCAGAAGAGGGCACCAGATCTCATAACAGATGGTTGTGAGCCAC